GCACCCATCGCCAATCCTCCCCTTGATCCACCAATGGTTGCGGTACTTATACGCGAAAAGCCTTCATTTATAGTAAAGCGTAAAAACGAATAATGGACGGAATGACATGTCACAGGTGAGAAATAGCCGAAAATAAATGTCAGCGAGGAATTTAATAGCCTTCCCTGTTCCATTCTATTTTAAGCGAATTGAAAAATATGAGGACTGGAGAGCATATAACTGTATTGCTAATTTCTAGGTTCCACAATTCATATTGGAGGATGCTGCAGAAAAGGAGCAAAAAGTACGCATATTCTGCACGCAGCCGCGTCGTTTACCGGTTCTTGCAGTATCGGCACGTGTGGCAAAAGAACGAAATGAAAAATTAGGCACAACTGTTGGTTATCATATCAGGCTGGAACAGAAGTAAGTTTTTTTTTTGTTTCCAAGTCTAACTTCCTCTGTCACTCCTATTCCTTTCATGATATTACATTTTCTCTCTTTTTCACTCTCCCTCTCTCCCTTTCCCTTTCACTCATCCTTCTAGCAAATTAGTTACATGTCCTTTCAATACATGGCGGGTAGGAGGCTGTACTGATGATTCCCACTCCTATCCGCATGCATAGTCCGGCCTGTGTTTACAGCTAAGGGATGAAACATACAGAGACTGTATCGTAAAATATCACCTTACTACTACATCTAAAGGATAAAGGCAGTTTGCACCATAAAATATCATCTTACACATGACGCCTGCGTACAGTCCTGTTGTCCTATTATTTCTAATCTGTTTCTCTAGCTATTCAACTGACAACTTCCCCAGTGATACTACGCTTGATGATCAGCTCGCTGGCGATCCTAATGTTCGTTTCGTCCCTCTAGGGCGCTTCAGATGTTGTACAGCAAAGTGATTTTTTTTTTTTCAGGATCTCAGAACAGACAGTATTAACTTACTGTACCAGTGGAGTATTGCTACGATTGCTCACAAGCGATACAAATGCATGCAATATTTCACATATTATCCTGGTTTGTTTCACTTTCGAAATTTGTTTTAATTGGCATTTTTTCGTTTTTTTCTCGTTCTTCCCTATGTTTATCCCGGTAACATCACGCTCTTGCTGTTCTGGATATTGATGTTACCACCTCATTCGGAACGATGAAAGCCCTAGACTGAAATAAGGTGCTTTACTATCTAGGGGGGTTTTCTTTCCGTTAAGGCTGTGAAATTGGACGAACACTAAAATTCACAGGTTACGGCCGGCCCGTGTTTTCTACGGTCCGGTCGGGCAGTTTACTTCGGAAATTACGGTTCGGCCTACCAAAGACCGCAAATTACCAGTTTAACCCACTCCAACCGCTCCACTTGGACCGTCCACTTATGATTCGACCTTCTAATGGCCGTTACTTATACTATTAATGATGAAGACGTTTACTAGAGACAAAGCAACTGTTTTAGCTCTTTACTATTTGTTTTAATTTGCTATTTTTGTGGTTTCTGATGCTGTTTCTTGTTTGTTGTAGGATGAAATCCATGAACGGGAGCAAAAAACCGATTATCTCTTGATAGCCCTTCGACAAGCGCTGAAGCAGAGGGATGATCTAAGGGTTTGTTCTTTTGATATCACTTGTTTTGTGGTTTCATAATTTCATCTTCTCTGTTCTTTTCGAAGTTCGTTTTCCTTTTCCTTCACTGGGGACAGCTGTTGATTCGTATAGTATTATTCTCGACCTATATATTTAGCGATTTTTTTTTTTGTAATTACTTTGACCACTCCCCTGGCGTGGCGTAGCTGCGCTCGACGTGTGGGAGCATCTAGGAACGTCACTAACAGGGAATACCCACGTTGATAGCCGGAACAGTCTTGGTATTCTTGGGATATTTACTTTAATTAGTGATGAATGGCTTGCTGGTCAGCTTGCTATTGAATTCTAAGTACGTTTCGTCTCCTGAACTGATTACCAACTCAAAAGTTCTCTTGGCGAAAATATTATATTGCTGCTGGAGAAAAGTTTCGTCGTTTACGAACCCTTCTGTTTTGTTTCAGATTATCTTAATGTCAGCAACGATGGAAGATAGTCGCGAAATGTTCAGAGAATATTTTGGCCCAGGGAATGTCTTTTGTTTAGATAGTGAGTCTTTTTTCTTTTCAAAGAATATCTTAATTATCTTGGCCCCGTCATAGTTTACCGTCTTATTTATTTGCTTTTTATTTCTTAAAAATATAGCAATTTACGTGTAAGCCTCTAAAGTTACAAAATCTGCAGAATTTTGCCTCAAAGAAATTCCTCATTCGTAATCTAGGGAAAAATTCTCAATGTCCATTATGCTATTTTTGACCATGTTAGATTTGTTAACTTATGCCGTTATGCTGCACGGAGTGTATTGTTTGGCTGCTTACGATTTTCCTTGCCTTCTTTGGAACGAATTTACAGACTTGATCCTTTAGGTAATGCGAAATTGCACGATTCATAGGCTTTTTCATCCCTTTTCACAGATTTTTTTTTTCATAGATTTCACAGACAAATTTTCACAGATTCACGATTCATAGATTTCATAAATACAGATTTTCATAAATTCATAAATTTTTCCATTCCGTGTTTTGACAAATGTTTGCTCCTTAGCTATGACTTTTTTGTTTGCAGTTCCTTCAACTCTACATAAAGTGGATATGTTCTTTTTGCCGGAAGTATTGGCACTCACTGGCTACAAGTATACCTCATCGTTTGCTGGTGGCTCGTTTTTTCGCCGAGAACCGAGAAGTCTGAACAACGAAAGCTTTGCTGAAATCTACAGCACGTTGGTGTTTTCTTTTTTTTTTCTCCTTGAATAGTGTAATTTTTGGGTATGCCCCCCCCCCCTTCTTTCCTTTTTTTATCATCTTCAGTCCAGTGATTTTATGATAGAAATATATCCTGTCACGGATTATTGAAAGTTTTTAAATCGACTGTAGCGGTCACGATTTGATGGCTTTTATCTTTCAGGCCTTACTTAGTATTCTGAACTTGAGCCATTTTTTGGAAAAATTTTTTAAGAGTTTCAAGAAATTTAACATTCTTTTGAGGTTGGGTTGAACTGCGTTTTTTTGCAGTTTTCCTGTTGTGGATGAATTTCGCAGTGAAGACGTGGAATCCTCACCATCTCAATCGCGGCGCAAGAAGAAGGTACCAAATATTACGGTTTTTTTGTATGGGTGGCAGTAGATCTTGTTTTCGAGAAGCTACTAAATTACAGCTTACTAGAAATCTGGACTTTCTTGCTTAGACGATTAATCTTTACTACAATATCATTCACTTTTAGGCGCGCAACTTTATGCACTACTTAAGCGTTTGCTTGAAGAATTAAATTTAGTTGCAATTTATAGTTTTTTTCTCGCAATTACTGCATCGCTTGGCGATCAAACAAATCTGACATTCAAGGAAAACTGGGAGGCTGAAATTTTGAGGGGATACTCCAAGCCTAAGTACAACTTAAAGATTTTAGATGCGCGTGGTTTAAATTCATCTCTCAAGTGCGCGTGGTTCTCACGTACGGACCCGTGAAAATTTTTGGGCGGAAGATTGCTAACTCAGAAACCAGAAAAGCTGGAAAGCTTTTGACTCTAGGAAGCTCATGTACTACAAAGATTCCAAGCTCAACGGTTTCCTTGGCGGAAGCATGTGGCGAGGCTTTAGTAGTTTCAAAGTATCCTTAGTGTGTGTGTGTGTGTGTGTGTGTGTGTGTGTGTGTGTGTGTGTGTGTGTGTGTTAGTTTTCACTCCAGGATTGTAACGATGACGTACAGCTGCGGTTCAGTCTTAGCTGGAGAAGTGTGAGATAATATTTTAGGCAAATTTGGAATTATTTAGGTTCAAATTCAGTTGCGTGTGTTGTTATTTATAAATCAAATGTTTGTGGCCGATTTAAATTTTTGTATTAAAATTAAGTCCCATCAGAATTTTATCAAGTTTGAAATCTATATAAAAATTAAATTATAGTCATCGAAGCAGACAAAATATACATTTTATATAAGAATAGCCTGATAAATTTTTAATTAAAAAACCCCGTCATGTTTCAATATTGCTTGGTTTTGTTGTGGCCACCTTCATACTGTTATAATAAGTGCTCATTATAATGATTTTTAATAAATTTATAGCTTTTTTGGTGCAGGCTTTTCTTTTGATTTTTTGATTGGTCATTTTTTTCCCTCAACAAATCGGTTGTACTGGTTTCCTCAAGGAGTTGCAAGTGCATTTTCTACATAAAATATATATATTCTTTAAGGGCAAATCTTCACGGCAAAGTGGATCTTCCAGTGATTCCTATTCAGGCAG